CCGGACTAGGTGCGTTCCAATAAGTCTTCCTACCAATCTGACCATGTTGCGAAAACAAGGTCAAACAACTCCTATACAACGAAAGGAGCCTGCGACCATACAAAAAGCCACACCATCTTGGTCTTCATACCTAAGAGAAATTAGAGTTTGCAATTTTTAATCAAAAGATGCAATAAGTGTACAACTTCAAGGAAACATCTGCTATTTCAGACAACTTCAGCAGACCTATTATTGATTTTAGAGGTGCAGCCTTATTGGAATTCGTTCAGTTGCCATTGCTGACACCAAAAAATGCTGTTGTGAATTCCTTAAATTTAATTAACTAGTAAATTAGGATATATTGTGATTTTGAAATGACGTTAATGTAAAAGCCATCTACTATTTCCAACATATCAAGTTTCATAGCAGAAGGCAAATCCTTGAGCCTGAAGTCTATGCTGGCCAGATAATAATTATAAGGATCGTAACAAACTAACAGTAATCCAAAATAACGGCATATAAACCCAAATCACCCAAGGTGATTAAAGCATTGATAGTGGAGTCGTAATTAACCAGCGTCAATTCCCCGCAAAAAGGTGATTCGGATAACATATTCACGATATGTTCAACTTATTTCGTTTGAGGTGATGAAGGACTGGTAGTTGAATTTTCCCACAATGACACGAATACACCTTATTTTCCGATTGAATTTCATATAGCTTTGTTTCCCAAAAGGTATTCCTTTCCAGGATGGACTGCAGTTTCGACCTCACCTAGGTCTCATCTAAACCCCCGGCAGGACTCGAACCCAGACCCGGTAATCACTACTTCACATTTCCACGAGTGTATTTGAGTCAGAGCAGATGTGAATTTAAATAAAAGTCAGGCATTTTCCCATATCACATTCTCTGGTTGAATTGTCGACAAGACTAAGTTGTATCTACTAAAACAATCGACCATATTGCTTATTTTTCGTTTATAACTAGGTTTTCGAGATTACGAGAAGACCCTATCTATATATGAGATCTATTCACTCTATTTCGTTAAGGTTAGAGTTATACTGGGGTTGAAAAGAAGATCAAGGCGAAGTGGAAACTGCAGTCCACTCTGGAGGAGA